GCCGGGCGGTGCAGCTGTAGCGCCACCAGCCACCTGTGCTCCAGGCAGCGTGGTAAGGGGGCAGGGAAATTGGATAGAGGGCAAGGGAGTTCAGGGTGGTGGTCAGGAGACGGAGGTGTGGATAGGGGTCAGGGCAGTCAGAGGGTGGGAAACAGGGGTTGAATAGGGGCACGGGTCCCAGGGGGCAGTCAGGAAGGAGAGGGTGGTTGGATGGGGGGGGCGGAGGCAGTCAGGGGACAGGGAGTGGTTGGATGGGGCAGGGATCGTGGAGGGGCAGTCAGGAATGAGAGGAGGGGTTGGATGGGGCGGTGGGGGGCAGGTCAGGGACGGGGGTTCTGGGGGGATGTCAGGGGACAGGGAGGTGGATGGGAGTGGGAGAGGGTGGATGGGGCAGGGGTCCCGGGCGGGCATCAGGGAACGGGGGGGGGTTGGATGGGGCAGGAGTCCGGGGGGGGGGGCACGTCAGGGGGCAAGAAGCGGGGTGGGGGTGTCAGATAGGGAGTGGGGCTGGGCCACGCCTGACTGTTTGGGGAAGCACAGCCTCCCCTAACCAGCCCCCATACAATTTCCGAAACGCGATGTGGCCCTCAGGCCAAAAAGTTTGCCCGTCCCTGTACTAGATGCACACTTAGTCAGACAGTACAGATGGCATTGTTATTGGTCCTGAATTCTTTCCTGCAATAATAAAAAACGTATTAAACTGCTTATCAGATAACACAATCTGTCAAACTCCAAACCCCTGGCATTACTGTAATTTAAAGGAATCAATCACAAAAGCCAGGCAGCTTTTTTAGATGACAGGAATAAGAATATTATCAATATGTTCATTTTGCATTGCCTTCTAATGTTCTCACATATTTACTTAAATGAAACGTAAGCTTTGTCTCTTATTTCCTTTGGACCTCCAATTGTTTATGTCCCTTACTACCAGAACATTTTCTTTATAAAACACTAAAACCAGTTAAATATACAATGCCTTAGCATGGTTCAGGGACACTGTTCAGTTGTATCTGTGCTACAGTAAAGAACTGTATGCAGTTGGGTTGCTTAAAACAGCTGAGAGTATGACATAGATGGGCCTATATTAGCAGTATCCTCTGTTTCCCAGTTCATTTTTTCTGGTATCTGAGTGTTTACCTGTAAGTTCCTTGGAGCTGGGACTGTGTCTGCCTTTATGTTGTTTAAAGCAACATGCACAATGTAGGCATGTAAAGTTGCAATTATTATTATTATAACTACTATTTATCTTTTCAATAGAAAATTATATTTAAGTTATGTTTTAAATATGAAAGCTTGGGACTAGACAGTGCCTCTATGGCATTAGGGCCCATTGAAACTGGTGCACAATGCCTCATGGAGTTTCTGGGGAGCAGAGAGATTGTATGACTTCCTCAGAATTGCAATATGTGTTTCCCTTCTAGTAGGTAGAGCTCCACTGACTGATGGAGAGAGAATGCATAGTCATGTACCCTCTTCCTTATTCCACTTTGAGTGACCTGAGCTCAGCGGCACCAGTAGAAGGCAGTCCCTGTTCAGGGCTTGAAGTCACAACATAAAAGAAGGTCTTCTCTATGTCTCATTTCTGTGATAAACTTGAAATATAAATACTTTCCCCCCTTGCTCCTACTGAAACCAGAATGTCTTATTTACTACAGAATTGGGCCCCTGCTGAGCAAATAGATACAGAAATTTGCAGTATTTTAGACACCATAAGGCTTCTATATTTTTGTATCAAAACAACTGAGCATGACTAAAATATTGAACACAAAACTATTGAAAATGAATGTATACTGAATACAAAAGTAAACGATCAAAGCATGTATTAAAACTAAAGTTCAAATTGTGCTCTCTCATTCATACCAAGATTTTCTTGCATGGATAATTTCATGAAAATCCAATTTAATTTCACTGCATTTTTGCACCTTCAGCTATATTGTATATGATGCTAGGAATAGTATGTCTGAAGACCACCACAAAATTATTTTGTTTCAACTCTTGGTATCATGTCCCTCAGTTCCTTCTCCACACGAACGTCTCCACTGAGAACACTCCGGAGCAAAGCGGGAGGAAGTGCAGGTAGTAGAGCACCCAAAGGGACATACATCTCCAAGAACTGCAATTACTGTATAAGGTGAGTAACCTCTTCTTCCTCCAGTAGTGTCCCCATCGGTGCTTCATATCAGGAGACTTCCAAGCAGTTTCCCTAGAGGGAGGAGGGTGTTCAGAACTGAGTCCAGAACTGAAGGTAGTACTGCAGTACCCAGAGCTGCATCAGATCTGATGGCCTGGATTAAAGCATTGTGCTTCGAAAGTATATGTACCAAAGCCCATGTAGAGGCCCTACATCTTTCAGACACCGGTTTATTCTTAAGCAATGCTGTGCATATTGTTTGTGACCTGCTGGAATGTGCTAGCACCTTTTAAGGAGGAGGAATGCCTGTAGTTTCCTAACAAGTGACAATCCTTCCAGATATCCATCTTGAAAGTCTCTTAGCACAGCTCATGGATCCCATGGATCTATTTGCAAAAGAGATGAACAACTTGGGTGACCTTCGAAATTGCTTGGTCCTATCCAAGTAGACGGTCAGAGCCCTTCGATCATCTAGGGTATGAAAACAGGACTCCTGAAGAGAGAGATGTGGCTTTGGGAAAAATACTGGTAGGTGAATAGATTGGTTACGGTGGAACTCCAAGAGAACCTTAGGTAAGCATTTAGGATGTGGGTATAAAGAAACTTTATCCTTGAAGAATACTGTCAAGGGTGATCTGCCATCAAGGCACCAGGATCCCCAACTTTATGGGATGATGTGATGGCTACTAAAAAGGCCATCTCATAGATGAAGAGCTGAAGCCATGATGTCCTGTACATGACTATTACTGTGAAGATAGACTATTACTGTGAAGCAGTGTCTTCAGCGTTCAGGGATGTTTGCAGAACAGTCCTGGCCAATAATTGGCACTCCAATGATGGACAGGAATTGCTCCCTATATTCCTGTGGCAGGTGTTCAGTAAAGGCTGTCAACCTATTATAGTTTGTGAAATTGTATTTGGCCGTGACCACCTAATAGTTCGTGATCCTGAACTGCAGGGTTGCTGGCACATAGGACTTCTGTCCAAACCAATCCAGTCTCTTTTGGTCCTTGTCATGTGGAGTAGATGTGGAGAAGTGTTGCCTGCCCCACTCGTTTACCACATCCATTACTAGGGAGTTAAGTGGAGGTTGTGAGAACAAGAAATCAGGGGAATATAATACTTTTTATCCACCCTTTTACATGTTGGTGGGATAGTAGCAGGTATTTGTCAAACAGTCTTAGCTGGATCCAGGAATGCCTCATTGATGGGTAATGCATGGAGGGCGTTGCTGACTGTAGAAGATCCAACAGCTTGTGTTGTGAATTTTTGACCTCTTTAGTGGAATCTGAAGAGTGTCAGCTACCCTCTTTATAAGGTCTTGAAATGGCTGAAAACTGTCAGCCATGGAAGGCGGTGGAGGCATAGCTGCCTTGTCTGAAGATGTGGAGAAAATGGGTGTTTGAGAGGTGGCTCAGCTTGAAGAGACTGAGTTCAACTCTGAGTTCACTTCTGCAATGCTGACTCATACAAGTAGCCCATACGGGAGGTGAGCAGCCCCACTGATTTGAGACGATTATTCGTATTAGCAAGGGTTGCAGAATTGGATCCAAAATTTTACACTATTTTCCTCAAAATCCTGATTCAGCAAAGCACTGAAGCATGAGTCTGACTTTAAGCTTATCAGAAGTCCTTTGGAAGTCAATGTAACTACTCGTATGCTTAAAGTTAGCTATGTGCTTAAGTATGTTGCTGAATCAGAGCCCAGATACCCCTGGAAAGAGTTGAATTTCACATACAGAAAAATGGGCAGTAATCTACTATAAACCAGTTGCAAATACAAGTGGGGCATATGGGCACATTTTGGAGGCAGTTGAAAATGTAAAGAAACAGGTGACTGTCATACCATTAAATACATTAACATTTTAAGCCAATGCTTACATTTAATGTTTCCTGTCCTATTTAAATGCAATGTGCTTTTTCTGTAATTATTGCTAATTAAAAAATTAGATTTGTAACTGGCAGGAATATAACTTTCAATAGGGTTGTGGGGCTTTGCATTCTGATTCTGTAGAGGGCTCGAGAAACTCAAAATGAGCATGAAGAAGGCGGTAATAAAGAATTGCTTGTGCATTTCATCTTTTCCTTAACTCTTGCATGCTATGTTTTTCTGACCCCTTCAAGTTTAATCAAGCCTTATTTACAATGTTTCCTCCTAGTGATGTTCTGAAAGAAGAAATGTAATTACGAAGCATAAACTTTACTAGCTATTTTAATTGTGCCACAAATGCTCTTTGAACATGTAGTGAGGCAGCCTGGCTCCCACTTGCCCCTGCGAGGGACGAGCCAGAACAGCCGCCAGAGTGGGTGGAGTCACCGCCGCCTGTCCCCGCCCCCCGGAAGTCAAGGGGCGGGACAGGAAGTATAAAGGCCCGGCCCCAGCGCTCAGTTACGGCCCGACTGCGGAAGAGGGCAGATGCTGGTGCCCAAGCTCCTGCTGGGCTGCGCCTGCCCTGGGCCCGGTATCCTGAGGAGAACTGGCCGCGCCTGCCCCGAGCCCGGTATCCTGAGGAGCGGACTGAACTTCCCCTCACCGAGGGTTCGGAGGAACCGCCCAATCTACCCAGCGCTCGCTGCCCTGAGGAACCCATGATCTGGGACACAGTGGACGAGGCTAAGGACGTGCAGGTACCCATGGAGGAGGAGATGGGAAGTGGCCTGGGGATAGCAGACCCCAAACCTATGTCAGTGTGTTGCGGTCCGGATCCCCACTGACCCAGCAGCAGACAGATTGCTGCTGACAGGGCCCCGGGTTGGAACACAGTGGAGTGGGTGGGCCTGTGTTCCCCCCTGCCACCCCACACCGGGTGGCAGTCTCTCCTCCTCCCCCTGCCTGAGGGCCTGAGCCCCTGAACTCACTATTTGTTTGCTCAGCTCCTGCCTGAGGGCCTAAGCCTGGGACTACTGATTGCTCGCGACCCCGCCCCGACTTAGGGCTTGGACCTGCGAGACTGATCTGTTCCCCAGCCCCGTGGAGTGAGGCGGCCTGGCTCCCACTCGCCCCTGCAAGGGACGAGCCCCCACCCGGATGTCTACAGAATGCTACATAACATGTGGTAGAAAACAGCTTTGTCCCCTTTGGAAATTACCTTCAGACTTTGCACCCCTAGTATCTGTTAGGTTGTTAAACAGATCTGGTTGGAAACTTTTTGATGAAAGTTCTTCCTGTTGAAAAATGCAGAATGATCAAAATTGAAGCTTTTTGCAGGAAAAGGTTGATTTTAATGAAATGTGTTAAGAAACTTTTCTCAGGTCCAGGATGGAATTTCTGGTGCAGGGTGAGACCACTCCAAAAACGCCTATAGCCCAAGTGATTAGAGCACACTCCTGGGTTGTAGGAGACAAAGATTCAAATCCCTGTTCTGCCTGATTCAGACCCAGAACTTGAATGAGGGTCTCCTATATCCCAGGTGAGTCCCCATAACCGCCAGACTATTAGCTATTTTGAGGCAGGTCTTTCTATGGTTTTGATTAGAAATTCCAATCCTGACCTGAGAACCCATCCAGACAAAATTTTGTCAAAAACAATCGGGGGAGGCTCTGCCTTATTCAGAGCAGGGACTCAATCCTGGGTCTCCCAAATCCCAGATAAGTGCCCTAACAATGTGGCTCTGGTCTCTCTCTCTCTTCCTCTTTCCTTTTCCCATCCCTACACCCATTGGATTCTTTCCACTTTGCATAAATAATTAAATATTAATTATACCATAGAGACTGACTATAGAACCCAGTGGTAAGAACTCTTACTTAGGCTGTGAGAAAACTTTTGTTGGGAACATTTCTTGGGTCCATGGGGGAATTTCTAGTCAAACCAGGGAGAACCTTTCCACTGAATAGCCAATAATGGGGTGGTCGGACCACACAGCTGGGAGACGGGAGTCCCTGGTTCAACTACCTGCTTTGACTCTGGCAGTAAAGGGATTCGAATCTGGGTCTTCCACCATCCAGGTATGTGCTCTAGCCACTGGACTACTGGCTATTCTGGGGCGTGCTCATTGTCTGTCTCGTTCCACATCAGAATGGTGACAAATTTCAAAACCTCAACATTTTTCATGACATGGACTACTTGTCTTCTGGCCAGCCCTATCTTTAAACAATCTTTGGGCAGCTGCAAAAGGCAATCAGTAAATGCTTATGTAGGTTCATAATTATAGCAATTTCCTTGCCCCTCATCACTTCTGCATTGTACTCCCGTAAATGGAGTGGCAACTTCTATTCCCAATGGCATTATTTTTAAATAAACTCCCTTAAAGGCAAATAGAAATATGCAACAAAAAAGTAGATTAATGGTTTTTTTTAAAGTGTGGAAACTGCTCCTGCCTAATCAAGCACTAGGGTCATTGGGAAATCATAATTTTATTGAGTGGGAAATGGGAACCAGTGAGGCATTAGGAAAGCTTTTTAACTGCCCCATCAGAGGATTATGCTTCCGTTATAATTACTACTTATTCTTACAAAGATTTGTACATTAATGGGTTCCAGCTCATTACTGAATAGCATTTGTTTCAACAGAGCTCATTGTTGACATTTGTCTAAACAACTAGGTGCTGCAGTTAATGGAATCTGATCTGCTGAATGAAATATTTAACACTCTTTCTCCACTGAGCCATTCTCAGGGTAAGGCCTTCTTGAATATAAAGTATTGAAACAGTCTTGCTTTATAATAGATTGAGTGTTTGTGAGATATAAGGTATGTATAGCTAGATTCTGAATGACACTAGTAGACTGGAATGCAAACAGTGACAGCTAAGGTTCAAACCGGAAATTGAAGAAAGTGAGAGACAATAAATATAGGTATCCTCAGCAACCCAGGTAAATATTATCTCTAAACATATCAAAACAACATGGATGTCTTCCTCCCAACACACCAGCAAGGGGGACAGGATAACAGAAAAGAGTGATGAAACAGCAGAGAAGTTAAAGGATGGTTTTGCATCAGGCTCTCCTCTAGAACACAAGAGGGAAATTCTGATACAAAGTAAACAGGGCATGGCTGTGCTAATTCTTCAGTTCCTGCCTCAGGATTGTTCAGCCCTCTCTACAACTACCTTCATTCTTACATGGCAATGTTTTGTGTGTGGAAATAATAAAAGATGGCTGATAAAGGATACAGTGGGGCTTAGTGGACAGAATATTGGATTGGGTCTTGAGAGACCTGCGTTCAATTCCTGGCTCTGCCACTGGCCTGCTGGTTGACTTCTGGCAAGTCACTGTCTGTAAAATGGGGACAATGAAGTTCACCTCCTTTGTAAAGCAATCTGAGACTTACTAATGGAGAGCTAGGTATTATTAGATGTGAATTTTTTTTCTTTCCCTTTTTACATTTTTTAACTTTCTGAATTGTGAGATATTGGCCCCTTCTCGAGACAGAGTGGCCCTGATTCTGCAAGATAGTATGCACAGGCCTAAATTTAAGAAAATGAGTGGTCCCATTAAAGGGACTTGCTAAATCAGGGTCTTTATCAGGGACAAACCTTAACCTGATACAACATGACAAATCCTCTGTGGAAAATAAGGAGATTTTCAAGGGCACAAATGACAGTTAGGTGCTTAAAACCTTAGCTCCTGAAGGTTTTCTCAAACAACTAGATGAGTACTATGGATGAGAACTGATTCAGATAAACAAGGCCCCTCAGCCCAAATGGAAATCAAACTTGGAAAATGTCTGTTAATAATTCCTTACCTCACTTTGCATGCTTCTCTGCTTCTGCTTTTGGCAACGAGCAGAAATACTATCAAGATAACTGCAAGAGTAACTTTTCCTGTGTATTCCCAAACTAGAAACTAGTATAGGATATCTGAAAAGAAAATGTTATCTCAAGTTTTTACCAACATAAAGAAATTTTTATTGGTTTACATAGGTGCTGGAACTAGGATTGCTAGGGGTGCTGCTGCACCGCCTGGCTTGAAGTGGTTTCCATCATATACGGGGTTTAGTTGTTTCAATGGCTCAGAGCACCCCCACTATACAAATTGTTTCAGCACCCCTGCTGGTTTAGTGTAGCTTCCCCCTGCTTGAGAGTGTGAGAAGAGTAGTTCTTAGTAGTTCCCACAGACAGAGACACAGAGCCTGGGGGAACTGAATAAGAGACTGCCTGCCAACTCCCTCTGTGGGGGCAAACCCAGGAGTCCATCTGACAAACAGGCCAACCAAATGTTTCTCCTCCTGAGGCCAATCTGATCTTCCAGGGTGGTAGGACTCCTTATTCCTCCCTTCTTGAGGATATGAGTTACATAAGCAAAACTGGGGGATACATAAGCAAAATTGAAGTAGAAGGCTTATTTCAAAGTAAGTGTCCTCATTCAGACTTGCACCAGAATAGCCAATGATCTGAATTAAATCTGAGTTAGTTGTTTCAGTGGAAGTTTGTGTGTAGACCAGCCCTTAAAGAGTGGTTCCTCCATTCTTGCTCAGTTTATATATAAGAGATTTTTTAAAAATAGGCTGCCAGTCTTGCAAACTCCCCCTGGGATCTGAACACAAAGTTAATGTCTTTTCTTCACATCACTACCAGTAGAGAAGATTCTGCCTTTGGTTGCACCTATGACACCTCTTTGTTTTCATAGAGATGGCAAAGCTTTAATTGATTGACTTTAAAATAAATTTAAGCTCTGAAAGTTTGCAGTCTGAAATGTGCAGATGGTCCCTCAGACTACACCGAACCACAATGAAGGCAGTGGAGCTCTGTGCATCTTGTAAATTGTAGAACTGGAACTGAAGGTCACAATTTTGTAGGTGCATGTGGTGAACCCCCACATCAGCCAGGAAGGGATCAAAGGCCTCCTCTGGGCACAATCAGCCACAACCCAGCACACCGGCGAGGCTTGTCAAGCCTGGAGATGAACAGGTCTTTAAATAGCAGATCCCTGCTGAGTGTGGAATGCCACTTTGAAGGAGCAAGGTTGGAACTCAGAGCTCCCCAGCTCCAGAAAGCTGGAATTTCTGACTGGGGAAACCTCTTGAGAGTGTTGGCTGCCCACGTGCCTCATGAAAGGAGAGGGTCCATTTCTTTTCTCTTTTTATTTTCTCCTTGGTTTTCCAAGGGACTTTTGTGGGTTGCGGAAGCATCCTTACTTTTTTCATTTGGACTGCTTTACCCCTCCCACTACAAGGGGAGCAGACAACCTGAACAGCACAAACCTCCAGACTCTGAGAAAAGAGCGATGCCTGGCCTTTCCTCAACAGGGCGCTGGAGATATATAACCTACTACAGTGTGCAAGAAAGGACAGAATTCAGTATACTGTCCCATACTTGTGGTGACTCTGCAGTGCTAATCGGCAGAGAGGTCAATTAGAAACAAAACACCCCAAATACCATTTTTGTTACTACATAAAGGATTCTCACTATGCACAATGAAGAGCTCAGATCTGTGTTTTAAAAAATGCCATTTTTATATTCTTGCATATCAGATTACAGCTATTTCATTAAACTGCAATTGCAGTGATTTTTTCTGAACCACAAAGAATCTTTCAGTCTCTTGAAGTTCTCTCATCACTAAAAGAAATTTGGCTTACTCTGTAAACATTCTACTTGGAATGACTCTCAGACATTTCAATACATTTTGTAATTCTTCACATAATTACAATTTGTAATTCAACATACATATATTGTATATGCTAGAAAAGGACTAGACCCTAAATCTTGGATCTGAACAACCCCAAACCTTGGGTGTGGGAAAGTTGATCTTGCATACAAATACCTCTTGTTCTTACAATGGGCTGAACCACACCTGAACACCGCTCAATTTCTAGGTGTTAAAAATCTAGTTATGAAGTTTGTGGCTTACTCTTGTCTTTAGGATAATAGTAGAGCTCTTCCATTTACCAAGGCAAATAATTCCTTTTAAAAATAGTTCTTAGAAGTGAAAATTAAGATGGTTATGTTATGGGGTTCTCACTCACCACAAGTGGTGCCTCCTCCTGGCTGCTCAGGGGGATTAGCTCTCTTCCAGGACCAATGCCTTCCCGTGTGGTCTCGACATCTGTTCTCTTTTTCACTCCAGGAGGTGCAGCTTCCTCTTCGTGACTTGGCCTTCTGGCCAGGTTACTATGTGGTTTCCCCTTCGGTGTATGCCCTTTCCTCAGGCCAGGCTCCTAGGGTCCTACTCTTTTCCTAGGTTACCTCCTTCCCTCTCTAATACATAGAAGGTGTATTTCCTCACTGCCACCATTTCCGTTGCCAGCTTCCTGGCTTTACACTAGCCCAGCCCATACCTGTTCAAGTGAGCTTCATCTTCCAGTCAGAGGTTGTGCCTTCAGCCTATTCCCTCATGTGGGGCCAAGCACACTAACTGGCCCTTTCTGAGCTTCTTTAATCCTTTCAGGGTTTGTGTGGGATGAATACCCCATCACAGATGGTTCTGATGCTGCCTTTTTAACCAGAGGTGATGGAATTTGACAGAAAAAGAGCATGTAGCTTTAAAAAAAAACCCGACACAGCAGCACAACACTTGTGTTATTAACCATCATTTAAGAATTGTAAATAAAAATGCTCCATTCCCTGTTCAAACTCCATTAATGGGAAACCATGTCCTATAAAAATTACATAGCCTTAAAGTGTTGTAAACTGTGAAAAGTAATAACGTTAGTTGCAGTGTCAACACAGTCACCGATTAGAAACAAACACATTCTTTACCTATGGCACTAACAAAACCCTCCCATATACTAAGAATAGGAAAAATAAAAATTGATTTTACTGCTCATTATTTATTATGTTTGTTTGCCTCTCAGACTGATCTAAGGAAATCAATGAACTCACTCTGCTTTACTTGCAGGCTCTCTGTGCTGCAATGTTTCAGTTGGAAACACTTCAGGAGAATGACGGTTTAAAAACAGCTGTTTCCACTGTAACTTCAACCCACCTCAGGTTTTATAAAACCTGCTTTTACAAAATCTGCTTTGAGGCCCAGTTTCAACTAAGAAAGTGTCCTCTACACAGGGCAAAGCTACAAGAGTCTTATTTTTCTGAGCTATTGCACTTTTCCCAAAGTTTTAACTATTTTACTTTCAGTTGTTCCCACTTACAGTAGTAATTGTTTCCTTTGGGACAGATGATAAATAAATATCAGAGTTGATATAAAGATCTGCTCATTGGTGCTTATCAAAGATTTAAACAGGTGCTGAAGATGGAACTTGAATATATACATACAACTGGCACTCTACCTTTGATGATCCCATCCCAGGGGTCTGGCTCACTCTCCTCCAGGCCTTAGGCTGACTGCTCCATTCAAACTGCATGTACTCTGAAGGCTTCCGCTGCCTGATACATGCAATACTCCATGTGGACTGAAAATTGTCTAAAGGAGCATAAATAAAGGGTAGTGACAAATGGCAATGAATTGACTGGGCAGCTATCTTGTGGTTTGAAGAGGCTGCTAGGGCTGGCCTTATTTAGTGGGAGTAAAGAGCGTATTAGTGACTCCGATGATAATATCTTGGGAGGAGTTAAACACAAATAAGTACACAGCTATACCAACGGGGACACAGTGATTGGAGCCATAGAACACAAAGATATTCAGTCATTGAGCAAACTAAACTTAATCCATATGGGAAGAAAATAATCTCAAACATACTCACATACATCCCTGGCTGAGCTTCCCTATTTCGATGGTTACCAGGATGCTACATGGGACCCAGCCTTTTTAAGCTTACTGGGTCTGAGCAGTTCCAGACACGGACTCTATATTTGGTCTTTCAGGCATTTTCCACTCCTGTGCTGGTACCTCTTCTTGGTATGTGGAGCCCAGCTGCCCTACACATCACTACTTCCCAGTCATGCATGCATGCCCCCTGAAGAGCTCTATCCTCAGAGGAGCCCTCGTTTGCCATTAACTCTGAGAGCTATGCGACAGTTAAAGCAAGGGACACACAGACTTTGCAAAGGAATTCTTAAACCAGACACACTCACCTCAGACAAAGCACAAGAGATACACAGATCTATGGAAAAAAACAACCAACAGCTGCACACAAGACCTTGCTTTCACTTTTCTCCTGAGAGCTTTTAGGGTCTTAGTCAGCATCCTCCAGGATCTTTCTGCACCATCTTCTCCTCCTGCCCAGTCTTGTTTTCTTTCTCCTTGCTAGAGAGACCCTCCCTTTTAACAGCAGATTTTAACAACTTTGTCTCTTCCCATCCTTCCTCACAGGTTTTTCCATTCACCAGTCCTCTGTGTTTGTTACAGTGGAGAAGAGTTATTAGCAAGTCAATAGTTTTGGGGCAGTAGTCTTCACTGCCCAACTAGGGCCCTGAATCCATCCTATGCTGAATGTGGTTGTGCCCTTCTTGGACTTGGACAAAACAACAACAGCTCTTGACACTTGTACTCTTTGGTTAAGCATCAGTGATTGGGCTATCTGTAACCATTCTCTACCTTACTGCAACCCCTCAGGACCAAGTTAACTCCTTTCACCCATGTAGCAGACAGTAGGATAATAACCAAATAGCAACAAAATATTCATAAAAATGCAGACATCTCCAACCTTCTTCACAAATACATCAGGGAGTGGGGACAATCTCACACAATCAATGGGAGGGAGAACCCAGGGAAACTGTAATGCAAAAAGAGACCTATTGGTGATAGTGGACAGCAAATCAGAGTATGCAATGTAATAGGGCTGTTTGCACAATTTTGGGCTGCATGTGTAAAGCATCATGATGTGGACAAGAAAGGCAACAATCACTAAATACAGTGCAGTGCAAGTGCTCCCAGAGCTGGAATGTTGCATTCAGTTCTAAGCTCCACTTTACCAGAAATATATTAACAAATTGGTGCATATAAAAGCAGCAAAAATTAATGAATTCATGGAAAAATTCAAACTGCTAATAAAGTAAAAAATGTAAGATGCGAGAAGGAACATAAAATAATAATGGGCATGTACTCCTATTTATCAGAGTTTTGTAACAGATTAGAATATCATCTGTACATCTTGAAAATAACGATGTGCTATTCATTAGTTGCAAAATGATTAACGAAGCCTTTCTAAGTTCTAATCTTCACTAAAGTGCTTCCAATTGTTTCAGGGTTTTTTTGTCACTGAGCCTAAGGGCAGCGTCAGTGATTTGGTAGCCACAGATTTGTTTCCAAATGTTGTTTTTTACAAAATGGTCCTTCAAAAGGCAACAGGTTTTGGCAACAATTTCATAAGTAGCTGAGAATAAAGGTTACAGTTTAGACACATAGCTGAGAAGGGTTGTAGGTCTCCTTATTGCCTCTTTGTTCCTTCCAATTGTCAACAATCAATGCAACCAGATCAACAGAAGGTGAAGAAGCAAAGTAAACTCAGAAGCAAAATAAAGAGGTGAAAGCGATTATAGGAGCTTGTTCACGAGTTCAAATCTCTAGTGGAGTTCTTGCAGATTCTCTTCTCTTGGTTTCTCTCATATTTACTCCTGTGAGACCCTCAATATCCATCTTCCTCCTGAATCCTGCATTACCTACAAAGCAAAACACTCATTAAGGCCTGGTCTATACTGGGGGGGGAGGGGAACGATCCAAGTTACGCAACTTCAACTACGTGAATAACGTAGCTGAAGTCGACGTACTTAGATCTACTTACTGCAGTGTCTTCAGTGTGGTAAGTCGATGGCTGACGCTCCCGTCAACTCTGCCTGCACCTCTTGCCCTGGTGGAGTACCGGAGTCGATGGGAGAGCATTCGGCAGTCGATTTAGCGTATCTAGACTAGACGCGATAAATCGACCCCCGCTGGATCGATTGCTGCCTGTCAATTCCGTGGGTAATGTAGACAAGCTCTAAATTAGCTTGAGTAAGGAGTGCAGGATATGTCCCTTAATTATGTTGGGGGGGTGGGCAAACACAATGGCAGCTTGTATAAAGGTGAACCATCATGAAAAATTGAAGCAGATAGGGTGGACTCTTGGATGGTTCAATTTAAGCTGATCATGCATTCTCAGTGTTTCTCCCTAGTTCTACAATTGCCAATCAGTGTATAGGTGAATGTTTACATGTTAAACAGGTATTATCAAATTCACTGCATGAGCTATATGAAATCAGCTGCAAAAGTAACAGAACAAGTTAATGATGGTGATGAATGTTGGATGCGGCATTTGTATTTGGTCTTGTCACAGAGCTCACCAAAACCCCAGAAATGCTACCTTTCTTTCCTGTTAAAAATCATCAGGGCACTTTGAATGAAACAGGATCATTAGTTTAGCGGTGAAGTGTTTGAGTATTTTTTAGTGGCCCTTGCTATCCTTTCCAGCATTATTGGAAACTAATGAATGAGTAAACAAGAAGTGTCAAAAACATTTACAGTGATATACCTGACTAACATGTACTTCTTTATACTGCTTGCTTGAATTATTGCCTAAAGTGGTTCTCATGCTATGGTATAAATTTGCTTAAACAGATTTTCCTTCTCATTTTGAGGTAAGAATTAGAAATGTCAAACACAATCCTCAAGTTTATACTGGAGTCAATTCACTGCTTGCAGCTTAGGATGTCAATTTTATTTTATATAGTTACTTGGGAGAAAATGTGAAATGGGAGTATTCTGCACAAAAATATACAATATATGTGAAAATGCTTATAACTGTATCTTAGTTTAAAACTACATAAGAATTTGGAATCAGATAGTATTCATACCATGCAGGCATTTTCTTCTGCTTCTATTAGCTAATATATCAATATATTTTTAAGCCATAAGTATCACGCATTGAAATCCCTCTTGCAAAAACATTCTGTAGTAACACCTGGCCAAATTTCTGTCTTTTATGGTATATCCCTGAACTACACATAAAGTGCATGCAAATATATAATCCAATGTCCTAATTGTGGCAGATGGGTAAAGCTTCAAAAGTTTGCACTGTTTGGTATTATCCACCTAACATTTTATATAATTCCAGAAAGAGAAGCAGCAAGGGAGCCCTTAAATATGTTTGTTTTACCCATTTCAGCAACCAGTGTGAAAAGATAGCATTGCTAAAATCTCTTGTCTCAGACTTTTAAATTTTCTTTCTGGGCTCTTGAAAATATCAGTAAAATAAATTGCAATTTAACCAGATTTCTGAAAGATCATCTACACCTCATCTCATCTATAGCATGAGGGACCTTCTGATAAGTTCTGTACCTGAAATAACTCCACCAAGCAATGGAATTTACTGATGTTAAATGAGAAGAGAGTTAGGCCCGAGATTTTCATTCACTTACAAAATCTTTAGTTTGACTGTCTCTTCCTTAACTAAGTAATAATCATTTACGTAAGTCTCTGACTCATGAGTTTTTGACTCAATTCTTTACAAAAACTACAAGTGTCAGAAAACTGTTTCCTTGGGGTAATTAAACTGTCCTCTCATCATGTATTAATGATCAGTCATTTTTTCTAATTCAAATTTGTTAAATAAAAAAGCTATAATGGTTACATTAAATTAAACTGAGCAGTGGTGGAGGGATGTTATCTCTGGACAAAGAGTGTGTGGGACAAGTCACTATTGCACAGGTGAAGAGGCTCTTTGTATCCTGCGATCCTGATCCATACAGATGCTGATGAAGTCTCTGGGAAAAATTAGCGCCTCCTTCAAAATATGAGCCATCCCTAACCTGAGTAATTATTTGATTTCATTCATGGAACTCTTATCTGTCCTCATCCCAACTCCTTCCCTAATGTCTACACTGCAATTGGAGGTGTGATTACAACTTTAGTTAGGCACACCACAGGCTTTAATCTAGCAAGCACAGTAAAAATAGTAGTGAAAACACAGTGGTGCCGGCTTCATCGAAGGCTTACAATACAAGTACATACCCAGGGTCTTGGACAGGCTTGTACAGCCTGTTGCCATGTCTTCACTGCTACTTTTAATTATGATAGCTTGATTAAAGCTAGTGTGGGTATATGACTAGCTGACTATGCAATCACACCAGCAACTGCAGTGTAGACATACTAAGTGTTAACGTCACTTGCAGAGTCAATTTTTAAAATTAGATCATTAGCTCTTTGAGGCAGGGTCCATGACTTTCCATTTGTTCTATACAGAGCCCCCACTTTTTGGGTGCTCTAAAATACTAATAACTGAAAAAAATAAGAATACTTTGCAATATTGTCATGAAAATTTACCAAACCATGCACACAATCTATGCACATCTCCTTTGTTATGACTGATAATGAAAAGCTAAGTTATTTCACTCATTAACAATTAATATAATTACTTGGCTGGGGTGTGTGAGCAAATAGTTTTGTAGAGCTGAAGTAAAAATTGTTGGTGCCATAGTCAGGGAAAATACAAGTGCTTCATGTTCAAAATGTTGCTCCAGGACTACAAATTAGGACCAAATTAGCATAGTAACTTGATTGCTTGGATGACCATCTTCTGGGATTTATTCAGACATCTGCTACCCTTAATAAAAGGGAGTAGAATTTTGGCAGAATCAGTGTTCCTCAATTTGTGCACAAGGCAGTTAGATGTTACGCTGAGAGTCACATTAGAAATCTTCAGATGAGGGTGTCAAACTTTCAGTTTGCACACTGGGCCTGGCTATTTGATTTTTTTCCATGGCACCCAATATTCAGATTCAGATTTTTATTGTTAAAGCACTCAGACACTAGTGCTAGGGGCCAGAGAGGCAGATTCTACAGGATGAAAGCATTCTTTAATTTTTTCTGAGTTCTTAAAGTTGTGAAGGTAACCCTTGAAACCTCAAGAGAGATCCTGAGATAAGGGAGGCTTTGCACTGTATCCAGTACAGCTGAGTACTTTAACTGTATAATCTGTCTTTTAAATAGGTAATTTCAGGATATTTTAATCTCAAGAGCAGCATTTTCAGATGAAGATTTTTTTAAAAGTTAACAAGTT